TAGATAGATAGATAGATAGATAGATAGATAGATAGATAGATAGATAGATAGATCAAAGTCTTCCTCTAAAGGAATGAAGTTCCTTTATTTCAGGTACCAGTTGGGTGAGGGGCAGTGTGGAACTTTGGACCAGAAGGATCTTCTTTTTACTCCTGATCCCACTTCCCAAAGCAGTTGCATGTCTACTTTACCCATTAGTCAAGTTGGCCTGAGTTAGTCTGGCCATGTCTTTCCTAGCAGAGGCCACCAAACTTTACCTACAGGGAACTAGACAAAATATTTCCAGGGAGGCTTAAGAAGCATGTTGATACTGGTGAGCTGAGTAGACAAAAGAGAATACAATAGTAGTAGTAGTAGTAGTGGTGGTGGTGGTAGTAGTAGTAGTAGTAGTAGTAGTAGTAGCAGAAGCAGTAGTAGTAGTAGTTATAGCTAATATTTAATTCTACCTTTCATACATGCAGATATTATCCTATGTATGTAATTGACTTAGTAGGATTGGTAGGGTATAATCTCTTTATTAGTCATTTGAGCACGGAACAAGAGATCAGTTGCCTCAGAGGGATACAGAAAGTAAGACCTACTTTATATCCTTATAGCCAGTTCTCAGCAGCCAGCCCCTTCTTCCCACTCCCCCTCTCCACCCCAGCCTCTGCTTATCCTGATGAAGCACTGACTCTCCCTACTTCATTTTCTGATATTACAGCAAGGATTGCTGCTGGATATGAATATGTCGCAATCACAACACACAGAGCATAGAGAATTTTTAAAAGTTCTTTGGTATCATTACTATCCACAAGTGAATGGAGAAACAATATACATCATTGTTTTTTTTTTTAAATTTGATGTCAGAGAGTCATTACCATAGGGTTGACCATACATGACTTATTTTGGCTACAGCAACCCCTGAAACAATATGGAGTGGTGGAGGGAGCACCCATAACAATGAAATTGTATATCTAGAAAGTATTGAAGTGAGATAGCAAGTTAACAAGTGAATAAGCTTTTAAGTTCTGATTATGTGTCAGGCACTGTGCTTAGTGTTGGGGATACAAAGAAAGGCCAAGTAAACAAAGAAAAGAAAGAGTCTAGGCTGTAAGGAACTCATAGCCTAAAGGGAGAGACAACATGCAAACAACTATGTACAAACAAGATTATATATATATATATATATAATTTTTTTTCAGGATGGATTAGAGAATCTCAGAGAGAAGGTGAATCAGGCTAAATTCCCAATTTTTTGGAAGCCACAAGTCACAACACTCTATCATTATGTGTTATATTTTACATGCTTCCTATTTTCATTCCCTCACCTAAACATAAGAATGCTAAATCATGGCTTAAAAACTATTACATTAATTTGAATTAATTAATTTCATTTTGAGAATTAAGAATTTTGGGTGGTCATTGAAATATTGCCTAATCTGGGTCTGCTTCTCTGTCCCAGCAAAAAGATGATTTTCTACTTCATGTGTGTATGATAATACTAACCAGACACCAGTAAGAACACCCCAGACACCAGTTAGATCTCTTTTCTGCAGAAGGCAATGACTATTTTTGTTTTTTGTTTTCATTTTTCCATAGGAGACCAATGGAGTTTCAGTATATGAGCCGAGCTTAGTTGGTGGCTCACGGTTTTCTTCAACTATGTTACTGAATCCAGCTAATGAAGAGCTCATTGAATCAGCAGCTCAAGGCATTCAGAAGAAGTGTCCAGATGATTATGCATGTATAATCAATGGTGTGAAGTCTTCAGAACCTACATCTGGAAATATTGCCTTCGTAGTCGAGTTGCTGAAAAACATATCCATGCAATTGTCTGCAAATGTCAACCGAAAGAAGATGCAGGTATTGTGGTAAAATGTTATCAGCTATATTTCTCAGAAAGGCAGGTAGGTGGCTCCATAGTACATAGACTGCTGGGCCTGGAGTCAGGAAGACTCATCTTCCTGAGTTCAAATCTGGCTTCAGATACTTTCTAGCTGTGTGAACCTGGGCAAGTTACATCACCCTGTTTGCCTTAGTTCCTCTTTGTAAAATGAGCTGGAGAAGAAAATGGCAAACCACTTCAGTGTCTTTCCAAAAAACTGAGATCTGGTCATGAAGAGTCTGTCAAGACTGAAAGGGTGGAACAACAACAAAAAAATTAAGTAGGTTGGCCTTTAGTAGCCTTTTACTCTTCTCCTTTTAGCACTTAACCTAGACTCACACTTACTCACTGCCCCCAGGGGTCTATTTTGTATTCCATTAGGCCTTGGTGTCTCAGTCCTCTGTCATTTTTGGAAAGAAATCCCCAATAAAGTATGCACTGATGACAACTTAAGTTATAACTTCTCCCAAGAATGTTTATATTTTAATAGGGGATTCATAGACCAAAAGGTCTTCAAATCCAGTGATTAAAAAGGGAATCACTCCCCAGTAAAATTTGGCTACTTGAAAGGATTATCTCAATTTTCCAGGGATTCATGATCTCATAAGGTTGACATTCCCTCCAATGAAGCAGACCACCACCTATACTGTGGGAGACTTGTGCTTATCTTCCTCTATTGCCATGAGCAGTACTAAGAATTACTTACCAGTCTTAAAACGGAAGTATGCCATTGTTTTGCTTTTAAATATGAATTTATTTGGGGGAAAGAGCCCTGCACTAAGAGACAGTGGAAAGAGAGTGCTGAACTGGGGGTCAGAGGACCTGAGTTTGAGTCTTCCTTCTACCTATGTGACCTTGGGCAAATAACAAATAACCTCTCTGGGCCTCGGTTTCCTTAGTTTTAAAATAACAGAGTTGGACGGGGTGACCTCTGATCTTTTAATTCTAGAGCTGTCATCTTATGAACTTATAATGAGTCAGATTTAGTCTAGTGTCTAATCCTTAGTGCGCAGGTAATTACGGTAAGGTCACATAAACTCAGCAGGCCTCAGTTAGCTCAGTTGTCTTTAAAATGGGGATGAATGACAATAACACTTAGCCCGGCTATCTCACAGGGTTATTGTGAAACTCAAAGGATGTAATATCTGTGAGGTTGATGGGTAAAGTATAAAAAGGTGCTGAATAAGTATGATTTATTATTATTATTATTATTATTAATTATCTCTTGTCTCCCTTGGCAGAGTTTCAGCACAATGGCTAACCATGTCCTCGATAGATCAGTCATCTCCAATTGGGCCTTCATTCCTGAGAGGAGCACTAGTTCTGTTTTGTTACAGTCAGTGAATTCATTTGCCAAGAATCTCACCATCAGTGATGACCCTGAGAATATTGCAGATGAGCCCTTCCTTCAGACCAAAGCCTTCAGAGTCAGCCACAACACCCAAGGAAATAGTTTTAATTTCTCTATGAGGGTGACTGATGGTGAGGAGGATGTCCAAGGGGTAGTGTTCATCCCCCGAGAAGAGCTACAGAAGCTCCCAGTTCCTTCTCAGGCCATTAGCATTGCTTTCTCAACCCTGGGAGAAATTTTGGAAGAAGCTCATTTGCAGAATGAGAGTTTTCCCAGACAGGTGAATGGGCTGGTTCTCTCAGTGATCCTGCCAGAAAAGCTGAAACAAGTCTTACTCACTTTTGAGAAGATCAATAAATCGAGCAATGCCAAAGCTCAGTGTGTAGGCTGGCACTCCCGGAATAGGAGGTGGGTCAAGGAGGCCTGTGAAACAACAGTGGATGTTATGGATAAAGCCACTTGTCAGTGCAACTACACCAATTTCCTGATGTCCTTCTCCATTCTAATGTCTCCTAAGACCTTAGCCAATAAAACCCTGGATTACATTACCTGCATTGGCCTCAGCATCTCCATCTTAAGCCTTATTCTATGCCTGATCATTGAAATCACAGTGTGGTCCCAGGTGACAGTGACAGAGATCTCATACATGCGCCATGTGTGCATTGTGAACATAGCCACATCGCTGCTGATTGCCAATGTGTGGTTCATCATTGCGTCCTTCTTTGATGGCATGGCACGAAGTTACAACTGGTGTGTAGCAGTGACATTTTTTAGTCATTACTTCTACCTTTCTCTGTTCTTCTGGATGCTGATCAAAGCCCTCCTCATCCTCTATGGAATACTGATTGTGTTCCGCCGGATGATGAAGCCTGCTATGATGGCCACAGCCTTTTCTGTTGGCTATGGGTGCCCTCTGGTCATTGCTGCCATTACTGTTGCTGTAACGGAACCAAGAAAAGGTTATGTGCGGCCCCAGGCCTGCTGGCTTAACTGGGACAACTCCAAAGCTCTTCTTGCTTTTGTCATCCCAGCACTGACCATTGTGGTAGTAAATCTCACTGTGGTTTTCGTTGTGGCTGTCAACACTCGAAGGCCTTCTATTGGAAGCTCCAAGTCTCAGGATATGGTGACCATTATGAGGATCAGTAAGAATGTTGCTATCCTCACCCCACTGCTGGGACTGACCTGGGGTTTTGGAATAGCCACCTTAATAGATGGCAGTTCCTTAGTGTTCCACATCATCTTTGCCTTACTCAATGCTTTCCAGGTAAGTAACACAAACCAGGGAATATCTTTCTACTACTCTGAGTGTTCTGGGCCAAGTGGATATATCCCAAATAACTTTATCAGTTGCAATTATGGGTGTTTGATAACTGCTAGGTGTCTTTGCTCATCTCTTTCCTTCTCCCACTTGGTTCTGACTTTCCATTTTCTACTGTAGTCGTTATTTCTCTCTAGTGTTTGAGCTACAGATGTAGCTGGTGGCTCAGTGTATAGAACTCTGGGCTTGGAGTCAGGAAGACTTGAGTTCAAAACTAGCCTCAGAAATTTAAATAACTGTGTGACCTTGGGCAAGTCACCTGACCTCTGTTTGCCCCAGCTTCCTCATCTGTTATATAGGGATATTAATAGTACGTTTTTCCCAGGGTTGTTGTGAGCATCAAATGAGATAATAATTCTAAAAGGTGCCTGTTACATAGTAGTTGTTATATAAATGCTTATTCCCTTCCCAGTAATCTATGTAAGAAATCTTTACATGTGTATTTTGCTGAAGGCTGCATAAGGCTCTTTATTACTAGTCTGGGAATTTGTTGTTATGTTACGATTTGGATTTATAAAGCTAACCCTCTAGGATGCTTATTATCTCCTACATACTATGCCTATTATTCAGTTTGCTGACACCAGGGATATAGTGATACCTGAATTATAGCTTGGTTGTCCATACAAAGGGATCTCTAAGATTTATAGATAAGATATAGAAAGAATTGAGTGTATCTTTTTATCCAACTCTGCTTTGAAAGACACAAAACTTTTACTAAAGCATCAAAGCATTCCTAGTAGTAAAATCCTGAATTAGTAGATTGACAGAAATAATACAGGATGTCCCAAAAGTCCTAGTGCAGTTGCAAGCTATCACTTAAATTAATTAAATGGATAATTGAATTAATTAATTTTAATAATTAATACTATACTAAATTAATCAAATTAAGCTTATTCCTTTCAAGAGTAATATCAAAAGATATATCAACACCCAGATAAAATGAAGTTTATTACTTTACTCTTTGCTCCTTAACCAGTTTGAAGGTATTCTTTTCCTTTTTGCTGCAGTCTTCTCTTACTTAATATACTTTAGGTGTTGTAAGCCTTGTAAGTTGTTTATTAGCTCTTGGAGTTAAAAATCCCTTGCTACCATACTCATTGTGGTAGCTATCTGTTATCTCAGATTCTCCCTTCTTTATCTAAAATATTAATGTACTAGAGGGTTTTGTTTTGTTTTTTATTTTCAGAGCTATCTATTTTCCTTCCAAGTGATTTGGCAAAAGAAAAAAAAGAAAAAAAAAGACATTACATCCATATTTTTCCAGAATGCCTTCTGCGTTACTATCCTCTTCCAAGATTTTCTTCAACCTGATTCTCTATTCTTCTCATTCCCCTGCCTTTTAAAATCTGGCCATCTTCCACCAGACCTCTGTCACTATCACTTTGAAGCCTCTCTTCCACAGGATGTATAGTTCACAGTTCTCAGTTAGAAGGGACCTGGGAGGTTAAATAATTGCACCTTTGCCTGTGCAATGCACAGGTCTCCCACTGCATCCTCGCCATCTCCAGTTGTCCTGATTGATATCTGGTCACTGGACCCAGATGACTCTGGAGGAGAAAGTGAGGCTGGTGACTTACAGCTAATGGTTTCTCTCTTATCTAATCCATTTTATACATAGTTATCACATTTTCATTTCTAAAGCACAGTTCTGACCATGTCACTCCTCTGCTTCAGAAGCTTCACTAGCTCCCCAGTGCCTCTAGGATAAAATATAAACTACTCCATTTGGCTTTCAAAGTCTTTTGCAGTATTTATCCACCCTATCTTTCCAAACTTATTTCGTATTCCTTCCCTTCACACATTTTGTTTTATGTAAACTGGCTAGATCCATGACTTTCTATCTACCATCTCCATACCTTTGTATAGTCTGCCCCCAATGTATGGAATGGAATATACTCTCTCCTCACAACATATGCTAGTTCCTCCCAAAAGAATAGGGCAAGGACTATTACTTTATTTCCCAGCATCTAGTACAGTGCCTAGCACATAGTAGGTACTATGAATGAAGGGATGAAGTATATCAACTCTCATTGGAGCCTATGTTACCTTTCAACATAAGATACAGCTCCTAATTCTTGACCTAGTGACTGAAAATCATTGCCAGCCTTTGGAGAAAAAACAGATGTATACCCCCCCACATTTAATAATATTGGCATTTCCCCCAAAATCTTGTAAACTCTATGTGTGTATGTGTACATGTATGTATATATGTGTATACACATACACATTCAATTCAATATTCAAATTCATATATATGAAATCATACAAAATAAAATCATATAAATAAAAAATATAACCATATCATAATATATAACATAACATAATATAATGGGACATATCATAATGTAACATAATATGATATGTATGATATAGTATAATATAACAATTATAGTCAGGGAAGAAGTTACTCTATTACAGGAATAAAGGTAACTTCAAAGGAAAAAAAATCCCACTTTTTTTTATTTAGCAAATGGTATATCAAATTCTGACTACTATTTTCTTTGAATATAGTAAAAAAAAAAAAAAGAGTCCTATGAATCTTAACTCCAGAACCATAAATTCAGAAATTTCGATGCCTGGGGCCAGTAGCATTAAATGCATACCCACAAATCAACTGTAATTCATGATATGAAAATAATACAAGAGGTAATTAAAACAAATTTAGTTGAGTGGGAGGGGAGTTAGTTACAATAATGGCTCACAGATGAGTATTATTAACAATGCTTGTTATCTGTTGGCTTTCTATTTTTCTTGCTAGTTAAGTGTTAAACACCATTGTCTGTATGCTGTTGAGGGACTGCGGGTCTGACATGTAAATGTAACAAACTAAATTGCACATTCTTTTAGTGTTGTTATTTGAGTTATTTGCACCCTCTACATTTTTGTGCCCTGGACCAAAGCTCCAGTTGCTTTGCCCTAGTTATGACTCTGGGAGGCATCAGAAGGGGATATGGTCTGGGAGATCTTTTCCCTTGTTCTTATATATGTTGATCATTGTCCTAGGGGTTCTTCATCTTACTGTTTGGAACCATTCTGGATCAAAAGGTAAACTTTGTCTACTTCATACAGTGGACTTAATTTCCTTGCTTGGGGATTGCAGCAAATCTTACAGAGACTTAATTAAAGTTCAGCAAATCTTACAGAGAATTAAAGTTCAGGAGTGAGTGAACAAAAGCCCGAGTATATAGTTGGGGGTGGGAATTGGGAGAATGGGAGGGAGTTAGGGGAGAGAGGAAAATTCTTTTTGATATATACTCAAACAACCACTAACTGCATGTGAATACAGGTAAGGACAAAGTGAGAAACAACATGTAACCAGTGTATGCAGGTTACTCCTGCTTTTGACAGGGTTATTAAATGATGAATTGGATTTGGGATAGATCATTGGATTAGAGATCTAGAGCTCTTGTACTCAAGTCGAAGCAGGGCAAATTTGGGTCTTGTGGGTTTTCCTCTTCCCTAGGCTTTCCAGTAGACTATTACTGCCAGCAATTGATTTTTCCTTTGGTTTTAGACAAGAGAAGCCTTGAAAGTGAGGATGTCTTCCCTGAAGGGGACATCAAGGACAGAAAAGGTAAGTAAACCTCCTCTCTTTTCTTCATAACATCATGGAGTCTGTGGACCTGTGGGACAGAAGAATAGAGGGCAGCCACTCTATTAAGTAGACTAGTTTAGTGCTCAGATTTTGCTGGAGAACAGAATCTTCAGTGTTTGAAGACTTCTTTCATCTTTTTATGCATGGATCCTGTCTCTCTCACAATCATTCCTTCCAGCTCCAAGTTGATTGAATCTCAGACTGAATGCATTTAGTTCTCAGCAAAGAGAATCTCTTTTTTTTTCCAGTATTCATCCCTAAGCACATATGACTCTCAGCCATAGTCTGTCTCCAGAGTTTCAGTTCCAAACTGCTCACTGGAAATATCTACCTGAGTAGAACTCCAGCCTTGGAGTCAGGAGGACCAGAGTTCAAATCTAGCCTCAGACACTTGACACTTACTAGTGACCCTGGCAAGTCACTTAACCCCAATTGCCTTACCAAAAAAAAAAAAAAAAAAAAAAGCAAAAAAAAATCTATCTGGATGTCTTATAGGCATCTCAAACTCTATGTATTAGAAATAGAGCTTATCTGTTCCCTGAAACTCACCCTTCTTTTGAACTTCTCTTTCTAATCTCCCAGGTTCACACCCTCAGTTCTCCATCCCTCATCCTCATCCTCTATTTCTACCTTTACAACATCTCATGCACCCAAGTTCTCTTTGTCCACATGGCTGCCATACTAGTTCAGGCCCTCATCATTTATCACTTTTATTGTTATAATAGCCTCCTAACTAGTTTCCCTATCTCAAGTCTTTCCACTCTCCAGTCCACCCTAAACACAACTGCTAAAGTGGTTTTACTGAGACAATGTTCTGACCATATCACCTAATGAACTCTGACGGTGGCTCATTGTTAACTCTAGGATCATATACAAATACCTTTTCTGAGCATTCAAAGCTCTTCAGAACCTGGCTCCAATCTGCCTTTGAAGACTTATTACCTATTACTCATCTCTACTTACTCAAAGGTCCAGGCAAATTGGCTTTTTTGCTGTTTCTTACATATGACTTTCTCCATGCCTTTGAACTGGAATGCATCACCATGCTTGGAATACTCTTTCTTTGCCTTTGTCTTTTAGAATAACAGTTTCCTCAACATTAGTGCCACCATCTACATCAAGCCTTTCCTAGTCACTCTGGTTTCTAGAGCCTTTCCCCTATGGGACCAGCTAGGTGGCACAGTGGATAGAGTGCTGGACTTGGAGTCAGGAGGACCTGAGTTCAAATCCAGCCTCTGACGTGGACTAGCTGTGTGACGCTGGGTAAGTCATTTAACCCTGCTTGCCTCAGTTTCCTCATCTGCAAAATGAGCTGGAGAAGGAAATAGCAAACCACTCTAGTATGTTTGTCAAGAAAACCCCAAAAAGGGTCAGGATGTGCAGGGCTTGACTAATCAACTAAATAACAACAAAATTCTCCTATTAGTTAATCCTATATTCATTTATATATAGGTGTACGCTTTTATATGTGCATGTCTCTTCTGATAGAATTAAATTACTTGAAGACAGGTACTGTTCGTTTTTATCTTAGTGTCTGCAATGACTAGCACAGTGCCTGGCACATAGTAAGCACTTAATAAATACTAGTTTATTCGTTCAGTAAACACTTACTGAATTAGACTGAATTGAAATGAATCAGACAACTGAGGCGTCTATTAGAATAGCAGAACTCCTATTGACTAGACTGCATCGGAAGGACTTAGAGGAGTCGCCATGCAGAAAGACAAGGAAATTATAGTTCTTGGCCACTCTGCAAGTCTGGTTAATAGATATTGGTCATAAAAAGAATAATGGTGACTATTACAATGAACATATGATGATATAAACATCTGGAGAGACACTATGGTGTAGGAATGTCCTGTATGTATTTAGTCCAGATCTATAATTCCTCCAGGGTAGAAAACTCCCAATGTGGAAACTAAGCTATTAAAGCTTATAATGGCACTAAGACTTTGAGGACATCCTGTGTGTTTGTGCATACATACACATAACACACATTTATACCACACACACACACGCATACATGTGCATATGCACATATATGTACATATATGCATATGTATACATAGACAAATAAAATAATAATAGCTAACATTTATATGTTGCTAACTATGTGCTAAATACTGTGCTAAGTGTTTTACAAATATTATCTCATTTGATTCTCACAAGAACTCTGAGAGTTAGGTACTATTATTATCATCCTTTTACAGTACTGAGACAAAAAAAGATTAAGTGACTTGCCTAGGGCCACATAGCAAGTAAGTGTTTGAGGCTGGATTTGAATTTGAATCTTCCTGATTTCAGGCCCAGTGCTCTATCTCTTCAGCCACCTAATTGTCCACAGACTATATGTGTCTATGTATAGAAATATAGAAAATACATTTATACATATGTGTATGTATTTATACATGTACATGCATTTATGGGAGTATGGACATATATGTGTATGCACATGTGTATCTGTGTATAAGCACATGTACACACAAAGTGCCCCAAAAGTCTTAGTACAATGTTAAACATTTTGCACATATATTCTACACATATACGTATTCTACATATATAATTTCCATTTTCTCTAATATAGACAATGCCCTGTTCCATATGTATAACTATATACACATATATAAACATACATATATACAATATAGATATATACACAGATATATGGGTATAACTATATATAGTATATACACATGCATACAGATACACATATATAATAGATAAACAGATATAGACACACATATACAGCTATACATTCATACATACATATGCACACACATATATGTGTATATCTACATATACGTATACACATATAGAATAGCAGAGTTATTACATAAATCTTTTCAAGAAATTGTCCTAAGCCGGCACATTTTTTTTTCCCTTTCTTTTTAAAAAAATCTCTCTATTTCTTTCCTATAAACCAGAGATTCCCAATGAAGGTGTAAGGAAAAAAAGACACATTATTGTCCCAAAGCCTGAGGATCATTATGATTGGGTACAACAGGGAGATTGCTAACAGAAAAGTCAGAAATAGGAGATATTCATAACAGCTGCTGACATTTACACATAGCACTTGATATCTTTTAGATAACATCCCTATGAAACAGCTAGTGCAGGTAGTGGGATATAGCAGTGAGAGCCCTAGTTTGAGTTGGGGCTAGGGTTTTGTACTCCATTCATTATTGTTGGACCTAGGTCAAATAATTTCCCCGTTTTTGGCCTCATTTTCCTCATCTTTTAAATGAGAGGGTTGGATAAAATGATTTCTAAAAGTCCTTTCAGTTCTAGATCTTATGATCCCACATGTATTACTATCCCTATTTTATGGATGGGAAAATTAAGGCAAAGTGACTTGCCTAAGCTCTAGTAACTAAGTGGCAGAGGTGTGGTGTAGTAGTAAAGTATATTAATGGACTGGCTTTGGAGTGACATTGGAAGTTATATTCTTCTCTGCAACAAGAATCTTGGCATGGCAGAAAGGAGATGGGGGGTGAGGGGGTGTGATGGGATGGGATAGCTGGAGGAGGAAAAGACTGTTCATATGGAATGTAGTGATCAACCAGGGAAGGTTTCAATATCAATGGGTACATTTTGGAAAGCAGACAGATATAGTGAAAAGAACACTGGATTTGGGGTCAGAAGACTTGAGATCAAGTCTCGTTTCAACTACTTTACTACTACACCACATGCATGTGGTTTTGAATAAGTACCACTTTATGAGCTTTAGTTTTCATACCTACAAAATGAATTTAATAATGGCAATGCCTCATTTTGTCTAGAGAGCTTTAAACAAAACACTTTCTTTGCAACATGAAGTTGGTAACACCCATTTTGGAGAAAATATACCTAAGACTGAGGCTTGATGTGACTTACCCATGATTATAAAGCTAGTAACCAACCTTAAAGGGTTGTAGAGAGGGAAGATTTTTGTAAACTATAAAGTACCATGAAAACTATTTTTTGGGGAGAGATTCATGACACTGCTGTTATTTTCTGTCTTATTTAGAATTCAACATATAATCCTAACAATGGATCTAAATTAGTGGCTTGTTCACGATGAGAAGTGGGTATTAAAACCTGAACTGAAAGTTTCCCTTTTGATAAAAAATCACTTAATAACTTACTTGGTTAACATTTTGCCTGTTACTTGGAATTGGGGGACAAAGCTCATCTTTTTCTGGGAGTTTAAAGTTCTGGTGTGGTAGAATGCTAAACTTGGAACGAGGAGATTTTGATTTGAACTCAATTTTTGCTTCCTAATATGCCCATGTTGAATTAATGAATGAATGAAAAAATTAATGCATGAATGAGTAATAGCCATCAGTCTATCTACTGAGACAATCATCTTGCATATCCTTTGAGCAATTAACATTTACTTTGAGACTTGAAAAATATCTAAATGATTGATTGACCCATTTTACAATCCAAGCACAATTTGAGGGATAGCTTAGTGTAAAGATATGAATACTGACCTTGGAAAAAGGAGAACTGAGCTTGAGTCCTACTTGTGACAGGAGTGACTTCAGACTAGTCTTTGAATTCTTTGCCTCAGTTTCCCCATATGTCAAATAAGGATAATAATAATCATACATCTACTTTATGGGGTTATTATGTGGAAAACATCTGATAAATATGCCGCAAGAATGTGTTGCAATTATTATTATGAAATAAATAAATTTGTTTGAAAAAAAATTTCATCATTGTTCCAACCCACATGTTGAAGTAATTACCAGTTTTTAGGTGATTAAACCTTCAGCACTCTGTTGTCTCTTTACCACAGTGAGAGGAAGAATACAGTGAGGTTTCATTTATTCTCATATAGGCAATATGATTTTCTGTTCACAGAGCTCTGGAGCCTCAACTTACTTTAATTTTAAAAATAAATCTTATTAATGTCTTTTGTTTTTACATCCCAGTAAACTCAAGACATGCTCTCTCACCCATTTAATGAGCCCTTCTCCATAAAAAATAAAAAAAAATAATTTAAGCAAAATATAATGTATTTGTCTGACAGTGTGTCCAATATTCCACACCCATAGACCCCTTCTTCTCCTATGTCTCTTGTATTTTAGTTTTTATTGTCTCCCAAGGTAGTAAGATATGGAATACATCCTTCTGATACAATTAGAAAAAATGACTAAGGTCAAGTTGAGACAATTAGGTTTCTCTCTAGAAAGGGGATTGGGGTAAGATCTAAAGATATCTCTAGTGGGATGGGAGGTGAGCATATTATTCTAAAGGGTGCTTTTCCTTTTCCATAAAACCTCCAGATTCATATAATTTTGCACAGGTAAAATTAGAATAAAATGACTTTGAAAATCAGACTTAAAGGGGGGAAAAAGCCACAAAGGGTCTATCTGGAACTTGGAGGATGTGGGAGAAATGGGGAGAACCTGGCCTTGGGGTAGAAATCATCATTTATGTTGGGGGATGATTTTATATATGGAAGAGTCTGGCCAGAATTGGCTCCTTTCCTTTGCTGTCTGCTTGCCTAGGTAGAAAGAGAAACTGGACTGCATTAAAGCTTGTAGTCTTTAAAACTGGAAAGTGTTGCCCAGTTCAACCTCCTTATTTTATAGGTGAAGAAAACAAGGCTCCCATAAGGGAAGGTGACTTGCCTAAGATTATGCTAGTATTAAGGAGCAGGGTAGTATTTAAACCCAAGTCTTTGGACACTAATTCCAGTGCTCTCCTCACTATACTCTGCTGCTGTTTGGTGTTATCACTCCTCCGTCTCCATCCTTCCCATGTTGGAATGTTGCTGCTTGTATTCCTTTGTGTTCAAGTTAGAATTTTGTCTCTTTGGATTCCTGGTGGTTGTATTTTTGAGAATTGTGGTTAGTGCAGAGTAGTTTTATGGCAATAAATAAATAAATGTCATATTGAAAGCCAACTCATCGCTTTCCTGTTTTAGAGATTCTCTCTCTACTGCCTCCAACTTAATTTAATTCAACAAGCATTTCTTAAGCATACATTATTGCCTTTTGCACAATGTGCAGCTAGGTGGCATTGTGGATAGGGTGCCAGGCCTGGGGTCAGGAAGACTCATCTTCCAGAGTTCAAATCCTGCCTCCACCACTTACTAGCTATGTGACCCCAGGCAAATCCCTTAACCCTTTTTGCTTCAGTTTCCTCATCTGTAAAATGTACTGGAGACTCTAGTTCTTTTGCCACTTCAGCATCTGTGCCAAGAAAACCCAAATGGAGTCATGAAGAGTCAAACAAAACCGAAAAAAACAAAAAACTGAACAACAAAGAGAAAAAATCAAAGCAGTTTTTGTACTCAGTAATCCCAGTTTACATTCTACTGGGGGAAAACAATGAGTTCACAGATAAGTAAATACAAAATATATACTAGGTAAATTCAGAGTTGCTGTGGAGGAGATCAGCAAAGGTCTTCTATAGGAGATGGTGCTTGAGCTAAGCCTTCAATGGAGTCAGTGGTTACAAAAGGTAGAAGTGAATCAGAATAGGGAAAGCATTCCAGGAATGAGGAAGATCCTGCATAAAAGGTATAATATAGAGTATGGATCAGGCACAGTGGATTGAGTGTCAGGCCTGGAATCAGAAAGACTCATCTTCTTAAGTTCAGATCTGACCTTAGACATTTAGTAGCTGTGTGACCCTAGGTAAGTCACTTCTCCCTTTTTGCCTCAGTTCCTCACCTGTAAAATGAGTTGGAGAAGGAAATGACAAACCATTCATTCCAGTATCTTTGCCAAGAAAACCCCAAATGGGGTTATGAAGAGTCAGACACGACTGCACAACAACAACAACAACAAAAAGAATATGGGTCAGAATTGGCAGTTGCTAAGGGGCAAAGTGGGGGAGGAGGAACTCAAATGTGCTTAGAATGCCAATGGGTAGAGCGTTATGGGCTCATTTGGTAGCATGTGTAGCATCCTGGAGTTAGGGGATGCAGAAGGGACATAGAACTCAGGGATGGGCTGTCTATACACGATATTGATACATGTACATAGGGACCCAGAAATGATCATTTGGGCTATGGAAGAATGATGTTCGTTGTCTCCATCCAGGTGTATACTGGAGCCCAAATGGGGAGAGTTGATTGTTAAACTTTTAGTTCATCTATACCTAAAAAATCAGTAAAATCTACATAAATTATTTGTTATTTTATTGATTATGTAGAAATCTAGAAAACCTTAGTATTATAGATTAAACTGAAAAATATTTTATGCTTACCTCCCTTAGTTCTGAAAAGCTGGTCTTAAATACCACCATAACAAGACTATCTTTTAGAAATCATTCTCAGTTCTGGCTTTTGTGGCAAAACATCTGAGAGAAATGAACCTTTTCCCTAAAGAGATTCAGCAGGGCCCCTCTACTCTAAACAATATGTGGCATCCTACCCCCTTATTCTTCTACCTCTCAAATCCGACCCAGTAACATAACTCTAAAGTGATATTTGTTATTAGTCAACAGTTGGGTGGAGCCAAGACACAAGTTTCAGAGTAGGAAAAGTTTATCTTTACCTTTTCCCTCCTCCACCCTTTCAGCCTTCTTCCTAGGTGCCTGCCCTGGGTGTGCCTTCTGTTATCATACTTGACTTGGTGCTCACATGCAAATCCCTCTGGGCTGCCAGGTGTCATAGGAGATGAAGACTTTGGGTCTGGAAGTATATGTTAGCATTTTACATCAGAGGCTTCCTAGCTGTGTCATCCTGGGCAAGATATTGAACCTCTCTCAGACTGCTTTCTTATCTGTAAATTGAGAATAATAATGACCTCCACCTTAGAGAGTTGTGAGGATCCAATGAAATAACACATTGTAAAGAAGGCAGCTATGTGGCTCAATGGTTAGAGCACCTGGGTCTAGAGTAAAGAAGACTCATCTTCCTGAGTTCAAATCTAGCCTCACTTACTATGTGACTCCAGGCAAGTCACGTTAAGTTTGTTTGCCTCAGTTTCCTCATCTGTAAAAAATGAGCTGGAGAAGGAAATGACAAACTATTCCAATATCTTTACCAAGAAAACTCCAAATGGGGATTGGACATGACTGAATAACAACATGTAAAGAGTTTTGTAAACATTAAAGCACATGCACACAATAGATACAATTACTATTATGAATGCTTTTGGGATTCTCTGGTTCTTCATCAGCTGAGGGCTCATGGTGCCTATGTTTCTCCTTTCCTCTATATTGAAATTTACCCCCTTTGTATCTCATCCTCTAATCTAAGCCCTTTCTCTGTCTTCTAAGGATTTAATTAACTAACTTAATAAACCCAGGGTTCTTAAACTTTTTTTTTTTGGTCATCGACTCCTTTGGGAGTCTGCTGGAGGAATGGAACTTTTTATTTGAGACATGGGCAGCTAGGTGGTACAGTGTATGGAATGCTGGCCTGGAGTCAGGAAATCTCATCTTCCTGAGTTCAAATCTGGCCTCAGACACTTACTAGCTACGTGACCCTGGGCAAATAAAACCTGTTCACCTCAGTTTCCTCATCTGTAAAGTGAACTGGAGAAGGAAATGGCAAACTTCTCCACTATCTTTGCTAAGAAAACTCCAAATGTGGTCACAAAGAGTCAGATGACTGAAAAACCATTGAACAGCAAATGCACAATGCTAATCTTTAGGGATACAGAAAAGGGGCAAAAGGTAGTCTTTGCCTTCAAGAAGCTCACAATCTAATATGAAGTGACTTGGTCAAGGTGACCAAGGATATATAGATTGTAAATGACAGAACCAGGATAGGAACTCTGGTTTTATGATTGAAAATCCAGGACTCTTTCAATGCCATTCATCACTGTCCTTTGGTGTGAGTGATGTCACATCCTGTCCCCAGAACAGGTTTTGGTAGGAATGAAGACAGAGAGGCTGTTAGATATTTAAAGCAGTGGGTGGGTGGGTGGGGGCAATGGGAGAACTGCCATACGGAGAAGGAATAGATAAAAAAGACAAACTGGAGTAGGGTGGCATAAAAGAATAAATGCCCATGGCATCTTTTTACTCCAGGCTGGCTCTTTTCTTGACTGTCAAGTGGCTTGTCTTACATATCAAATCTTGGTTTCTTGTGACTTACAGGTATGTTTCCAGGGAAGAAATGTTTGGAAAGAAGGTTGAAGAGAAAGTGGGGCTTATGATTTTCCTTTCAATCCCATTTCCCCCACTGAACTGAAACCAGGGTCAACAATGTGAGATAAAATCAGGAAGATTGCTGCCTAAAGGATTCTCAGCTGAGCCTATGACCTGTCTATGGCATGTTGAAGCCTGTATGGACTTTGTAGAGGTTATGAATCTGCCTGGAAGTTGCTGTGCTCCTCTTAGGAGAGGAGGAACCCTCTTGGCTTGGCTTCTCTTGCCTAAGTTTGATATTTCTTTTAAGGAAATAGGGCCTTCCTTCCTCTGTATGGATCCTTAGCTCTCCTGGGGTGCATAATGTCAGTTGAGGGACACAGAACATACTTTGGGGAAAGTAAGCCTGAGGTGGTTTCTTACAAGGAGGGTATAATTGAAAAGCCCTAGTTGTTTTGTTCTATTTTGAACTTTTGAAGAAGACACTACTGGGACCATGGTTTCCTCACTTGTGAAATGGGGAAAATAATATTAGAAGGTGCTCATGGGGGCCTATGTGTGTATGTACATATGTATAAATCAGTGTATGCAGTGTGTATAAAAATGACATAGATGTTTGTTCTGCATTAAGAATAAATGAGCCTCCCTTCCCTGTGTGTATATTTCACTTTCATAAGATTCTGGGTTCAGCTCTTTAATCCACGTAGATCTATAGAATGTAAGCTCATTGAGGGCAGGGTCTTTTATCTTCGTCTTTGTATCTCAGAATGTAACAGAATTCCTGGCACACAGGAGATGCTTAACAAATGCTTGATGATTGATTGGTTCCAATGGCAGGAACAGACTGGCCAGAGTTTTCTAAGTTATTTTCTGTGAACACTAGTTTATTCAATGAATCCTTAGCAAGTACTGACTATTTGCCAGGCACTGTGGCTATGAAAACAAAATAAATCACAAGCTTTGTTCCAAGAGGTTTATCTTATACAGGAGATGCAATTATTATTATGCTACATAATATCAAGAAGCAGAATTTTCCCAAAATCATAAATATTTCCAAATGGACATGAAATACTGCAAAATTGCCTTGAATGATGCCACATATCAGATAAGGTTAAGGTATTTATCAAAGATATGGAGATTAAACATACTTCGACATCCTGAGAACATTGAAATGTTATGAACTATAATCCAGGCTAGATTTGGAAAAAAATAGACTGTTAATCAAACAAATAAGTACAAAAGAATTTGAAGAAGGAGGAAAACACTAACAACCAGGGAGTTTCCTGTTTCCTGTAAGATTTCCTGTAAGAGGTAGCATCTGAGATGAGCCTTGAAAGAAGCTAAAGACCTTAGGATAAAGAGGTGAGGAGGGAGGGCATGCATTCTAGGCATGGGGGTCAGCCTGTACAAAGGTATAGTGGCAGTCACCTTCAGTAAAAGATACTGTAGTTTTGGTTTGGTTTGGTTTGGAACAGAAATTAAACTTGGTGGAGGAGAGGGAGAAAGTGAGGGAGTGGGATTCTCTGTCTTTATCAGTATATATAAGGAGAATCTCTATGATGCAATGAAAACAACACTGTACTTGGAGTCAGGGGATCTAGGTTTGAATTGCACTTCTTCTATTTACAACCCATGTGACTTTGGACAAATCACTTAATCTCTCTGAGGCTGGGGTCCCTATCAGTTGAATGAGAAGGCTGGACTAGATGGCCTTGAGGTCCCTTCCAGCTCTAAATCTATGGTCTGATATACCTGATACATCCAAAGTATCAAATGAGATAATATTTGTAAAGCGCTTAGCCTAGTGCCTGGCACATAGTAGGTGTGAAATAAATGGAGGCTATTATTATTATTATTATTATTATTATTATTGTATTCCAACTCTTCATAAGTCAAGAGGGCAGCTAGGTGGGATAGTTGATAGTGTGCCAGGTCTGGAGTCAGGAAAACTCAACTTACTGAGTTCAAATCCAACCTCAGACATTTACTAGCTGTGTGACCCTGAGCAAATCACAACCCTGTTTGCCTTAGTTTCCTCATCTGTAAAATGAGCTGCAGAAGGAAATGGCAAATTACTCCAGTATCTTGGCCAAGAAAACCCCAAATTGGGTCACAAAGAGTCAGATATGACTAAACAAGATTATTATTATTTTTATTACATACTTGTATGTATAGCCAATGTCTATTATATACAAAGTAATTTGGCATGAGAAGGGCTAATTATTGGAGTGGGGGCCAAGGAGAAGCAATGTGTGGCACTCCAACTGAGGGAACTGGGCTTGCCCAACGTGAAAGGAAGAATATTTCAATAGGAACAAGGAAAAGAAATGCCTTGATCCTCATGCTGTTTGACTAAGGGGTTAACTTTCCTCTCAGAACCCACCCCTTTATCAATCAATCAACAAGTGTTTATTATGCACCCACTATGCTCCAAGCACCATGAACCACACTTGTTGTCTTAGGGTCCAAATGAGCTCCCACCACAGGCCTCCAAACATCGAAAAGTGTACCTTATATAAGAACTCATCCTTTCCCTGCAGATGGCAGTGAGGTAATAGCTGGTCATTGTTTTCCCCACTCATTCCTTTGGGAGGTGTGGTGGAAATCTAGAGTTACTCCGATGAAGGAGTGGCTTTGCAGTACTTGTCTTCCCAGCCCAGCTCCTCAGGATGCAGCAATTTGCCCAGGAAGGTGGGGTGGGGTGGAGAGAGTCAGTTGCCAAGGAGTGAGGAAGTCACTGGGAAAGTAGTCAACATAGAGGAATTGATCTATCAATTGGTCAATAAACAAACATTTATTAAGTGCCTACTATTTACTAGACATTGGGCTAGGCAAAACACAGTGACAATGCAAAGAAAAAGAAGTGAAACAGTTCCTGCCTTCAAGGAGCCTACTTTCCATCAGAGGAGGCAATACGTATATTGAAAATATATACAAGATAGATGTCAGGGGATTTGGGGGGTGGGATGGGGGAATGTACTAGATTATGGGGAGGATCTAGAAAGGCTTCATGTAGAAGGTAGGACTTGAGTTGAATTTTGAAGGAAGCTAGACATCCTAAGTGTGAGAGGAGAGGTTGGAGTGCATTCCAGACATGGGGGCTAGAAAATTCACAGTTATAAAGATGGGAGATAGAGGAAAAATCATCACTCAAGGAAAAAACCAGGCCCCCTCTAACCTAATTTTTAGAATAATTGCAACTGGCACTAAAGAATTGTAAGGGTTTACCCTTAACTTGTCTTAGCTAAAGTTCTTCAATAATAATAATAATAATAATAATTCAATAGTATTTATTATATGCCTGGCACTGTGTTAAGTGTTTCATAATTATTAACTCATTTATTCTTTACAACAACCCTGGAAGGCAGGTGCTATTATTATTTTGTTTGTACACACAGTTGGTAATGTCTGAGGCCAGATTTGAACTCAGGTCTTCCTGACTCCAGGTCCAGTGGTCTATCCACATAGCTGCCAAACTCAAATAATCCAAATGATGGTGGTGCTCTATGACTGTTTTGACAGAAAAGGACGACATTCAAGGCAGAGAGAGTGTCCTGGAGGGAAAAACTTTTCTTCACCAGCATTTCTACTTCCAGGAGTATTAGAATAGAAATCCCAAGAGTAAGGTCCTAATCCCACCTCCCCCACTGGGTGATCCAGAGAAAACTTCTTCACTGCTCTTCATCTCCATTTTTCTTTTTGTAAAATGGATCCACTATTCACCCTTTCTTTTCTCACAGGAATCATATTAGGACCAATGAGATAATTCCTGTGAAAGTGGCTTGATTTCTTTGAAAAAAAAAACAACCTAGACATTTTATGGCAGTACTATCATCATCATCATCATCATCATCATCATCATCATCATCACCATCACCACTACTACCATCTTTTTATTGTTGTTAAAATCACAGGGGCAGCTAGGTGGTGCAATAGATAGCACACCAGCCTGGGAGTCAGGAGGATCTGAGTTCAAATCCAGCCTTAGACATTTGACATTTACTCACTGTATGACCCTGGGCAAGTCACTTAACCATGATTGCCTCCCCCCCCCAAAATATACATCTTTAAAAAAAATCACATAGCAGCATGGCATAGTGGATAGAAGGCCATTTGCAGAGTTAGGAAGGCCTTGGTTCAAATCCAACTTTTGACACATACTGGCTGCATAACCCTGGGCAATTTGCTTAACCTCTCAAAATAAATATGTTGACTTCTCCAGTACAGCATGCAACTTTTAATAACTTTAAAATATTTTTTAACTTGTAATATGCACTCATTTTACGGCAATCACTTATTTATATGATTTAGCATTGAGTTAAACTTTTTTTTGATGTACATGATTTAATTTATAATGAAACCACACTATTAACACATTTGATATTAAGCATAACTTTGATTAACAGTCTATTTTTTCCAAATCTAGCCTGGATTATAGCTCATAAATTTTCAATGGAGTTTAAATCAGGTAAGTTCTCAGGATATTAAAGCATGTTTAATCTCCATATCTTTGATAAATACCTTAACCTTTTCTGATACGTGGCATCATTCAAGGCAATTTTGCCGTATTTCATGTCCATTTGGAAATATTTATAATTTTGGGAAAACTCTGCTTCTTGATATAATAGTATATTTATTAAAGAGTTTTTCATTCCCTTAATGAACATAAGACATCCAAGTCCATTGGAAGCAAAAAAAATCTGCTAAACATTTTTTGGGGTGCACATTTTACAGTCTGATGATGTCCAGATCTCAGGCTCACTTAGACTTCTTCTGACAATGGTTTTGGTATAGTGTGAATGGGAAAATGAGTTTTGCTGGTGAAAGTTACTTAAAAAAAAAACATATGCTAAGTCTCTGTATTGTCTTGACCATGATGAGCATTTTCTGTTCAATGCAAAAATTATCAATTGTGTTTGTACTCTTCCTTCAACTCCCAAAGGCCTATACTTACACTATAGAGAAATCAATAAAAATCACTTCAACTGTCAGATGCCTCTGAATGTCCTTGTTTTCTGAAGATTAATTAGGCTATTTTGCAGTAATCATTTATAAATTCTTGGAGTTTGTTTTTTAGTTTCAGTATAACTGATGCAGTTTCATTGTGGGCTTGAATAATCTTTAACATTTTGATTTCTCCACATCAAGAGCCACTGAAATATTTCTAACAGTCATTGAAATGTGTTCTTTAAAAGCTACAACTTTCACAAATTTCCTTGGAGTAATATTCATTATTAAAAATGACAGATTTAAAAACATAACACAAAAGAGTAACAAACCATGTGTTTATTGCACAAAATCCAGTGCTTGAACTAGTTAGTTAAGCAGACATGGGAATGTCAGCTCAATCCTGTTTTGTCTGGTCAAGGTCAAGTGTTCTGATTCATCTTAGTGAGTAAAAGCACTCATGCATGACTATTGTGGTCACAATAGGAAATTATATCAAAATTATTATTTGTATCAAATAGTTCACCCACAACTTTACTTCATAGAAAGGGCCTTGCAAATCTTAAAGCATTATATGTGTCAGTATTATTATTTTTGAACCAACCCATGATTTCACTGATGTAGAGAACTCCTGATGAGCAAATTACCTTTACTATGGCAGATCTGCAAACTCTTTGAAAATATATTACCTTAGAGAATAGTT